TAAAGGGGCGTGTCACTTTGCAACCTGCGGCGCGCCCACGTTTTATTGAATAGACAATAGCTACTAGTGATACAAAAAATAAGTTGAGAAATAGCACGAAAAAGGACAAAAAAATTATTGATTAAATCCCGATCCTTTGTCCATGCTTTCTAATTTTCCATGGAGCGTATATGCTCGTTTTCTCGGCGATGACGTGGCAGCTCCGTCAAGAAGCTCAAGTGATCCCTCAGAGACGGCGGTTCTTTTTCTACTGATGGACTCTCTACCTTGCCAGTGTGCTGGTCCACTGGGAGCTAGATACGAGCCTGCCTGAGTGCGACGATTACCAGCTGGCAGTGCTGAAAAATCGATAATTGAGATTTCTGCTGGTCTGAATTTTCGAAAAATCAATACCTCTTTTGTTGAAGTGATACTGCCATGCATCCCCTGCGCCATGGAGCTGCGCGGGCCTCTGACGCACCGTAGGAGGCAGTGTGGGGGTTACTGTACAGCCGTAGTGGCCCGGCTGAGGCTCTGAAAAAGGATGCTCAAAAATTCCTTCGATTTTAGTAAATTTGTTACCTCTTTTGGTGCCGTAATTCGTCGGCTGGGAGGCGGCTTCCGCCTGGTGGCGTGCGGTGTACGCGGCTAACATGCTACCCGACCTGTCCTGATGAGCAACCGGAGGTCCGGCAGAACTCTCTGCGCCAGCGCGGCCACTTGGTCCTCCCGAAGTACCACCGAACGAGCTGATGGCAGGATGTGGGCTTAGACGTAGCATGGGTGGGTACATCGATGGCTTGACATCTGAAAAAAAACATTTGAAAATTAATTCGAACGCTGCCTGCAACAGAGCGCGCATGAAAGCACACACAAAACAGCGTTCCAATTTGGGACAGTTCGACTCCTTACCAGTTCGAACTTGTAACAGTTCGATTCTGTCCGCGTTCTGTTCTGGTACGTGTGCGAAAAAAGGACTGTTCTGAATTGAATCTGTTCGATTATGAAAACTTTCAAATTCGTCTTACCCTCTCGGAAGCGGGGGCTACCGGCTGGAAGGCGCCGGTAGGAAAGCTGATCCCTGTGTGTCCCCGCTTGGCTAGCGGTCGCGGCGAAGACATGACGTCTGAAAAACATTTTCAATTTGTTTGATTTCAATAAAAATCGTTACCTTTCTCGTTATAATAATCCTGCGTTGATATCCGGCGAAAGCCCTGCTGAGTAGAGCCTTCAGCCGAGCGGTCGCCGGTGTGCTGAGCGGTCATATTCCTCCCATTGGTAGATACGGGCGGTGGTGAGGGAGGCCCTAGAAATTCATAATTCAACTGAAACTTCTGAGAATTAGAATTAATTACCTCTTTTTTTAAGGTAAATGAGTGGTTTGGCAATTACGCGCGGCGTTGAGGCCCTGGTAGAGGCGTCGAGGGCGGCCTTGAGGCCCGGGTCCTGGAGGCGGAAAGGTGGAGGCCCTGAAAAATGATAAATTTGATTGAAACTTCTAAAAATCAAAGTTGATTACCTATATTTGTATTGTAAGTGGGTGATTTGGTATGCGACATAACGCGGAGCGTTGGCATGCCTGCCGATCGCGCGGGCAAAGCGCAGCACGGCGTATAGGCAGGCATCCCGGGGCCAAAATGACCAGTCGGAGAGGATTTGGCAGTTGGTTGGACGCTGTGCGTGAGGTTCTGGCGGAATCCTTCATCTGGGCGAGCGCCGGGGTGCTGTGGCGTCCCTGCTGATGTGCCGATGCCAGAATGCGCTTGATGCCGGGAGCCAGTCGGGGATGATCGGGAAGTAAATGGTTTACTAGAAGTGCCGTTGGACAATCTCGGGGCAAGGGAGCAGCCAAGCCCCGGGAATTCCAAGGAACGGTCGGCATTAGGCGGCGATGTGCTGGGCTCTGAAAAGCAAGGTTTTATGGTCAAAAATCGTACGAACATGATTCTTACCTGTCTTAACAGCGCATTCCACGGAGTAGTCCCCCACCGTGAAATTGCGATGATCATTTGTAGTCGGGTGATGCGGTGACAATGGCGGCGGACCGTTTCCGTCATCGGACTCATGCTCCTCCACTGAGAGGTCATCCGGTGCGCCCGCGTCCGAGGAGGTGTCGCCGGAGGTGTCGCCAATCTCATGGAGCTGAGCATTCTCTTCAAATCTTCCAGAAGGACCATGACACTGAAGCGGGATTGGACCGGTCGCATGCCTGCCTAGCAATGCTTTAATCGCCTTCAGTTGCTCGATTGTCGTCTCCAGTTGGTATGTTTTCAATTTTAGCTTAGCAGTTTCGAGAGATTGACCGGCACGAGTTTTTCGAGCACCAAGGGTTCCTGGCTTGATGGTGCTGCTCACTTTATCTTCAGCGATTTGCTCCAGTTTGGTTTCGAATTTATGGACATCCTGGAAATAAAAAATTGAGAAATGTATAATTTTAGCTTGTTTTAAAAGCAATTCAGATTTTTTCTGAACAGGAAAAATCGATATTGAAGGCCAAAACCGAAAAATACCTCTTTTATTTTCAGCCTTCCATCGTTCCGTTTCTCAAAAATCGTGTGTGCCAATTGGTTCTTTTTCTTTATCCAAAAATTGTCGGCAATTCCCATCGAATCAATCGATTTTCTGAGTTCTTCGGATTCCGCTTTCAGGTCAAAAATCGAGTCTTCTAGACCTTCCTTCGTTAATTTTTTCCTCTCCAAGTATCGTTTCGAATTATTACGGTTTTGCTCCCTTTTCACAGTTATAAGTCCGCCCGGCGTCTCAAAAAAATCGATCATTGAAGGCGAATTGTCAATGGAGCGCAATTACTGACCTCTTTTATTTTGCGCATTTCCAATGCTGTATGGCGACCTCTTGGCGTGGCTCGCGACGGTGGGAGCGAATCTGAAGGTGTGATCGCTCCAGATTCCTCAAGTCTACGGTTCGGCGGGAAATTTGAATCTTCGGAAAAATCGGGACTTTCAAGTTCCTTCAAAAATTCGTGCACTTCTTCTTCCGATAGAACTTGTAGGTCTGGAAAAATTTAAAAAATCGATAATCGAAATTTTTTTTCGGGTTAAAAAAATCAATACCATCATCATCGTCCTCACTTTTTCGAACGAGCTCGTTAAGTGTCTTTTCGGGCTCGATCTGAAAATTTCAGATTTTTGAAAAATTTTTAATTTTCAAAAAAAACAATTTTTTTCGAAAAATTTTAAAATTTGCAGAATTTTTTCATGACCTAGAAAAAGCTTCTACGGCCTAAAAATCGATTTCTAGGCCATTTGTACCTTTCCATTCTTCTCCATCGATTTTTTTATTTCCTTCGCCGATTGTATGATATTCCATGATTCGTTAACGATTTTTCCCAAAAATCCGTCCGGTGGATCATCGGAATTCTCGTTGTTAATATCCATTTTGTCGATCTTTCGGGAAAAAATTTTAAATTTTTAGGAAATTTTGAAAAAAAATCGAAAATACATAAATTTGAGGTTTTAACCGCGAAAAATTTGATTTTTCAAGGTTTAGAGTGTAAAATTCGAACTTTAAAAGCCTGAAAAACCATAGAAACCGCAAAAATTCAAGGAGAAAAAGGGAAAATCGGGAAAAAGGAAAATCTCTAGTTTTAAGGGAATTTTCACCCAAAATTATCGATTTTCGAGGTGTAAAACAAAGTCGCTCATTGATTTTGAATTTCTGTTGAAGTTCGCTTTTTTTTGCAGAAAAAATCCGGAAATTAGGCGAAAAACAACAAAAGTAGTGATTTTCCCACGATCTACAGTACCCTCTCGCGCGGCGCGCCTTTCGCGGCGATACCCACCGTCATGGCGGGAAATTTGAAAAAGAGACATGAAATCGTGAAAAAGAGGGTTTTTGGGATTTTCAGACCTAGAATTTGCCGGGAAATTATCGATTTTTCGCAGAAATTTTTGGTTGGCGTTAAAATGGAAAATTTTCAGATTTTTTGACTGAAATTATCGATTTTAGGAGATCAAATCCTAATAAGAAGAAAAAATTCAGAAAAATAACGATTTTTTTGATGAATTGCAGACCTAGAAATTGCCGGAAAATTATCGACTTTTTGCTTGAAAATTGAGGTTTTTGAACTGAAATTTTCGAATTTTCCGAGATATTTTTTCCCAGTAAAACAGTTTATTTCAAAAATCGAGTTCCAGACCCTCGGAATCCCCCGAAACCCCAAAAAAACCATTAAAATGGAGCGCGTTTGCGATTTCGTCAGAGAGTGCTCTCCTCTTTTCACACACTCTCTCGCTTAAAAAGGCAATTTTTGACTGATTTTCAGCGATCAAGATGAAAAAATGGGGAAAAACGGAAAAACAATAAATTTTAAAAATTTTGGGACAAAAAAAAGCAATTTTGAAACAAAAAAACTGTAGATCAAAAAAAAATTTTGTTCGAAATTTTTTCAATTAAAAAGAGGAACACAGAGGATGAACAGGGGATTTCATACGGATTATTTTTTGTTTTGAGGTCACAAAGTTCTTGTTTTTCTACTAAAAAATCCAATAGAGCGCATTTTCATAAACCAAACTTTATTTAACAACTTTATCACTATTATCAACAAAAAAATGAGGAGCGCTATCAGTGGAATTATCAACAACAAATCGATAAAACTCTTCCAGATCAGCGGCCCGATTGTTTTCAATCAATTGATCCAGGACGTCTTTCGGTATCGATTGGATCAGTGGAGCAGCTTTGGGTACTGTATTCTTCACATAGTTATCTGCCAATTCTGAGAGTTTGGTCTCGCGGCGAAGTTTCTGGAAAAAATTTGTAAAAAATTCTAAAAAAGTAGCTTAGTATCAATATAAATATTCTGATTTTTTCGAAAAAAAATTCCAAAAATTTCAAAAAAATTTTTTCAGAATTTTTTCCAAATTTTTACTTTTCAGAGTCAATTTTAGTCTGGAAATGCGTATTTTACATCAAAACTCTCTAAAAATGACCTTAAAAAGCTGAAAAAACGCCTAAAAACAGCAAAAACCATAATAGTCCAATAGAGCGAATTTCCATCAAGCAAAAAGGGAACTCACATGCTCATTAACAGAAATATCATACAAATGTTGTCGCCATTCCATTTGCTGTTTTGCTCGAATTTTTCGAGAGCCTAACGTTCCAATCACCCCATTTTTAATCCGTAAATCGGTCGCCGCTTTTTCAAACTCCTCACGGGCACTTGCGAATCTCTGAAATTACCGTAATCCTTATGAAAAATCAATAAAATAAAAAAAAATCCTTTCGATTGATGCAAAAATCATAGAAATCGGTCTATTAGAAGTTGAGATTCGATCGTTCCCCGGAGTATAGTAGTAAATGCGCCCTAATAGACTTTAAAAATTGAATTTTTAAGATTTTTAAAAAAGAAAAATGATCTACTAAACATTTTACACATTTTTTCTGTTAACACATTTCT